TCCGCAATCCCAATCGCATCCGCTATAGGCCCACAACGGAGGAGCGCCAAACTCTGAAAACCAAGACCAGGAAAGGTTCAAAGAACGGCAAGCCACAGGAAGATCAGGACATTGACTACCAGCGCGATGTGCTCAAGCAGAACTATCCGGTATTCAAGGCCCCCTCCAGACGACCCACCAGTCCCACCGCCATTCCCAGCTCCTACGATGTTCAGGCCACCACCGAAGGACCCGCCTCGGAGTCCCAGCAAGTGTACACGGTGACCCCTAGCAACAGTATCGATGGCGGCAACGAGCAGAGCGGCTTCCCCGCCAATCTGTTGGAGCCCATGCAGATTGCTCAGCACTACCAAGAGTTCTCCAAGGATAACTATGGACCGGGCTACTTCCCCAACCAGGAGGATCTTAATCCAACAGAGGCCATCGTGCGCAACGAGGTGAGCCCGATCTACACCACGCTGGCCACCACAACTCCATCAACCACCACGACCACAACCACTACAACCACTGAGGCTCCATTGACCACAACAACACGTCGCTCGCCGTTCGTGAGGAGAAACTATCCGCGTCTGCGTACGACCACGACCACAGAGACACCAGTCACCTCCACCACACCCTCTGAGGATAGGCCATCGGTAAGATCCAATACCTTCAAATTCTACCGCAGATAAGGAAAGTTTTACTTTCTTTAGATCCGATCCCGCCTGCCACCCCGTCGAGTGGTTAAGGTGCGTCAACGACAGCGTCGCCCAACTCATCCTGCATCCTCGTCGACGGTGGCGCCCGAGGAGGAATCGGAGCCCGTTACCCAGAAGAGCCATCTCCGCAAGCTGAGTCGCTACAGCAACCAAGAGACGAAGGAAAAGGAGGCCACAGTGGTATGCGAGTTTATTAAAACATATTAAAACTGCTTTTAACATAAGTTACCCAATAAGTCCCCCATCACCCACCGTCGTCGTTACAAGCAACCCTTCCAACTGGAAGGCCAGGAATCCCAGTGGTCGCCATCCTCGGAAACAGCCAACAGCAACTCAAACTCGAACAGCTTCAAACCACTGAGTCCCAAATACAAAACGGAAACCCATAACTTCGAGAGTGAGCCGGAGATTGTGACCGCAGGACCTACCAATCAGCCAGAGACCTATGACATCAATGTTGCTGCTGATCTTGGTGGATCATCGATGCAGCGCACCACAATCATGGCGCCCAATCTGAAGTAAGAAATTTGGTTTCATAAGTTGAACCATATACTAAATCCTCTTTTTTAGGCCAGAGAAATCCTTTGCCGAGCTCTTAGAGGAAGTGATGGGCAAAGCACCCGAGGAATCCACCACTGAGACCACCAGCACCACTTTTAGTCGCCTGAATAGACGTGGCAAGTGGCAGAAAAAGAACCGTTTAGCTGGCTCGGATAACTCAGAAAACTTCGAGACGGCTGAGTCCCAGAATCTGGGACCTCAGCTCTATAATGCTCTCCAAGCAGCCAACGAAAAGGTAGAACTGCCCAAGACCACCACTCCATTAACTCCCTCCACCGAAGTGCAGACAGAACCTTTGGTGGTGACCACCACAGTGGCATCTCCCACGACACCCGAGGAGTACGAGGTGACCACTGCCCAAGACATTGAGGAGGCCACCATCACCTCCACTCTTCCTTTGAGCGAGGAGAGTGCCACGCGTCGCATGGACACGGCAGCGGATGTGGACGATCTGGAGGTGCAACCAAGCATCTTCTCCGAGGTGAGGAAGCAACTGCACGATCTGTTTGCCATAGAGGAAAGTGAAGGAGAAGCAGTTACCGCCGCCCTAGCTGCCGTGGGTAAGCGTCGCCAGGAGTACACAAGCATCCGACGAACCAGTCCAGCCACTCCCCCGGAAACAACAACTCTAGCGCCAACGGATGAAGCCACCACCACGGAAGCCGCCGTAGCGGAGAGCAAAAAGGACAGCTTCCACAAGGATCTAATGGAGCATGTGGTTTACGCCACGTCCACGTCGACCAAAGTCACCTCCGAAACGGAGATCTGCTACCGCGGACGTTGCATCCGTTCCGAAGATCTGCCCGCCAACCACAAACTGCAGTGAGCATACTCCTCCTGCAGCGGAAAGTGAAAAGATTCATCATGTACATAGGGGCAGAGGGGATACGGATGGGGTTCAGGGGTCCAGGACGATGGAGGCAGCTCCTTCAGCTGCATTGGCCCAAAATACAAAACCGTATCCGCTGTAATTACCTAGCTTTAACTAAGAATATGTTAGGAATAAGCAGTTTAAAAGAGTAATTTAATATGGAAGAGTAAAGATAATTCCATACATTTTTTTAAAACACAGTTTTGAATAAGTTAACAATGACCACAAATAACATTTTCTATTAAGAAACTCTCCCTGCATTGAGCACCCCTTTAAAAACCCTATATATTTTCACTTAGAACAATTAGTTTGTAGACTTTAGAGTTAGCATTACGTCAGGATACCACATAGCCAGCATATAAGTCTACCATATGTACATCATTGTGTACATACAATGCAAATACAAATACCAATAAAAACGAAACGAAAAATCAAACAGGGAGTGCCTCAATACGTCATACTTACTAAAATTGTATATATATTCCGTAAATATGTAATTATGTATACATAAATATGTGTTGTGTGTATAAGTACTAATACGATATTAATTGCCATTCATCAATTCCAAGGAATGCTTTGCCTTCAAGGTACAAATGTTTCACATTTACAACCAATTCTTAGGCTATATTTTTGTGCTATAATTTATGCGTCGATCAGCGGGCCTCGATCCTCAGTACCTTCATCCCGCGCTCCGCCTCCGCCAGGTGACGGAGTCCTAGTTGTAGGGCGACTATTCCATGGCTGAACCCGTGTGCGTCCAAATAGTATAAAAATGAGATTGCCAATGAAATAAACAAAAGCGGTGGTTAAGAATACTATTCGCCATTGCGCCGGATTTGTCTGAAAAGGATAAGAAAAACCATTAAAACCGTATAAAGATTAAAAGTTCCATTGTGCTACCTCATCCCAGACAATTAGCCCTACAATCAGGGGTGCCAGTATGCTCATAAAATTGGCCGCACAATTTGTAATGCCCATTAGTGTACCCGCATAGTTCGGTGACAAATCGATGTGGTTTACATGGAAGCCCAGATAAGTCGCCGAGTTGGTGGCCACCGCAGTGGTGAGTAGTCCAATGGCCAGCCGGACATTGGCCTCACCCTCGGTGATGTATCCCAGTCCGATTAGTGCGAGCATGGGAAGCCACGTTCCCAGAGTGTTGAAGAACTTCCTGGAGAATCCCAAGGGAATTACCGTTCCCCTTTGTTTCAGTATATCTGAAAACCAGATGAAGAAACAGGTACACAGGATCATGGCGAAGTAGGGTAGCGCTGAAAGCGGTCCATTATTCTTGATGTCCATGCCGAGTACGTTCTTCATATAGGTGGGAATCTCCGTAAGCAAAGTCCAGAAGCCCCAATTGTTAGCACAATGCGACAGGACGAGCACTAGGAAAGGTACAGAGGTGAAGATACTGCACCATGGAGTCGGCGGACGTGGCTGTTCCTCGCGGCCTGCATCCGAAGGTCGCCTCGCCTGTCCAGAGGATTCAATGAACCTTCGCTCATTCGGCGTTATCGTTGGATGTTGCCCCGGCGTACTGGAGCATAAATATAGCCACACGAATGACCAAACGATACCAACGCATCCGGGTAAGTAAAAGGTGCTGGGCCAGCCCAGTGAGGATGAGGCAATGTACCCGCTGACTGACAGCATTACGACGGTTCCAAACTGCGAGCCCGAGTAGGTGTAGCCCACCAGACGACCACGTTCCTCTGCCGGCGCCCACTTCGATAGGAACGTATGTGTCGAGGGGAAAATGACGCCCTGACAGAGCCCTTGGACCGCACGGAGCACCACCACAAGTTTCCAGCCACCGCCTACGGCACAAAACGGTGTTAGCAAGGCCAAACAGGAACAGATGAGCACGCCGTAGAAGAGCATGTACTTGGCACCATAAATGGCGGATAAGTACCCGCCAGGAATTTGGGTGACCACGTAGCCCCAGAAGAAGCTACTAAGCAGGTACGATTTTGTACTCTCATTCCAGTCGAATTCCTGAGGAAATATAAGTTGACTTAAATAAAATTATCGTCCTCACTGAGTGCATCCAAAATAATTGGTGACTCATTATCAGCTCTTATCTGCATACATACAGGAAAATCCGGATTGCTGGCATTGCGATCCGTCATGGCCACAATGGCCACAGAGAGATTCACACGAAGGGAATAGGCCACGGCCAGTCCGAAGAACAACAGGATGCACTGCAGATGCCGCACTCCGAAGCGAGGACCTGCAAAAAAAATTGCACGGTTGCAAAGTAAGTAAAGTGGATGCGGAAACAAAGGCCAGAAGGTCATATCTCCACCCACCATTGTTCCCGATCTGCTGGTAGCCATTGTGACTGCAGCAGGGCAGGCATCCCAGCACCATATTGCAGGTGCAGTGTCTTCCACGTAGCCAACTCAATTGATGCGTTGGACTCCTCCAATCGGCGACTTGGAATGGATGGAACTAGCGTCTAAACATAAGACAGCTGATAACAACAACAAGTGCTGGCCGCTGCCCGTTAGGTAGAGGCGGAACTATCGAGGCTATCGCGCCAACAAGTGCAACGATAGTTTAGGCTGGACTGCAATTTTTTCATAGCAGATGTAAAAGTTTATAATTAATATTACTATCTAATTTATAAATCGCAGTGCTTTGTTTCTTTTTCATAAAATTAACCACAAAGAAATTTGATTTAAATACATATTGTTGTTTTTTGTTTTTTTGGCATAGCCACAAGTCCGCTTTCACGACCAGCAGTGAAAATATCTTATAATTCAGCGCCACTACTCGATAGTTCTGTAGAGTTGATAGTGCGATTCAATCGATAGCAGGCAAGTGACTATCAAATTCAAAACCCAGTTCAAATAAAACGCAAATGATTTCGTTACATTTTGACTCTTTCACAGCTGCGAATTGAGCTGCTTTATTCATGGCTAGTGTTGTCTTCATCATTCTTTTTCGCCTTTTTTAGTTTACTTTTTCATCACAAGTTTGGTTTTCTTTAATGCCTAACTTAACACTAAAACATAACAATTACTAGAGTTGATGCTGCAGCTCGTCGTGGGCTCTGTCCCTATTTACACTGAACGTTTTCTCAAGTTGCACGTTTAATTGGTTTGTTTGATAGATTGTTTATCTTCGTTTTTTTTTTGTTTTTTTTTTTGGATTATGTACATTATGGAAATACTGCAAACAATAATAATTTACGCTGCCTTAGGTCTAAGCAATTACCGTATAATATCGCTAATGGAAGCACGCGATCGTCACTAAAGTTAACTTTCAGCTTGTCTGGTGTCTAACTAACTAACTACGCCTACGAATCTAAGAAACAACAGCCCGGATGATTCTGGATGCGGTATGGACATGCCATCCCAGGCTCTATTTGACCTGGCCATTGGGCGCCAGAGGCGTGCCCTGCTCCGCATCCTCCTTATTGTCCCGTGGGGAGTCCCACCACTGTACCTCCGTGCGTCCAAATATGACGAAGAGAAGATTGCCCAGGAAGTAGAAGGCGGCAGCCAGCAGGAACACCAATCGCCACTCAGTTACGCTTGTCTAAAGATAAAAACGCGCATTAAAGGGGTTTAACTTCCATATCCTGGCCGTTTAACTCACCTCATCAAGGACAATCTGTCCCACGATCACTGGTGCGATTCCACTCATCACGTTTGCCGCACAATTCGTAATGCCCATCAGCGTTCCGGCGTAATTCGGGGACAGATCGATGTGGTTCACCTGGAAGCCCAGATAGGTGGCCCCACTGATTCCCACCGTCAAGGTGAGCAGTGTTACCGCCAAGGCAGCATTATCCGCCGGCACATAACCCAAAGCGATCAGCGAGAGCATGGGTATCCAATGGCCAATGCTGTTGAAGATCTTGCGGTTGAAGGACAGAGACATGCCCTCCTTCTTCTGGAGCACTTTGGATAGCCAGACGAAGAAGAAGCTCAGGACCAGCATCACCATGTAGGGAAGGGAGGAGAGCAGAGCACCCTGCTTGATGTCCACGTGGTAGATCTTCTTCATGTACGTGGGAATTTGCATAAGCAGGAGCCAGTAGCCGAACATGTGGGTGCAGTGCACCACCAGGAGGGACAGGAAGGGCGGGGAACTAAAGATGGCCTTCCAGGGCGTGGGCGCCAGTTTCTCGGCGGATTGCATCTTGCCATCGCTACGCGAATCCGTAATGTACTTCAGTTCTCCGGGCGAAATCAGACGGTGTTCCTCCGGAGTGCTGGCCGAGAACAGGTACCAGAAAACCATCCAAATAAAGCCGCAGGCTCCGCCCAAATAGAAGATACTCGGCCAGCCCAAGACGGAGTCGGCGATGAAACCACTAGTGGCCAGCATCACCACCGTTCCAAACTGGGCGCCCGCGTAGCAGAGTGTTCCCAGCATTCCTCGTTCATCCGCGGGCGACCACTTGGCCAACAGCGCGTGTGTGGCCGGATGCACTGCACCCTGGGCCAGACCCATCACGAATCGCATCACGGCAAGGGCGACCCATCCGAATTGCAGGGACATCGGCGATAGCATCGTGATCATGGCGGCTATGCCCAATCCGTACATCAGCATGGTCTTGGCTCCATAGCGCTGGGCGATATAGCCGCCTGGCACCTGGGTTACGATGTAGCCAAAGAAAAAACTGGCCTGCAGGCTGCCCTTCTCCTTCTGGGTGAAGTTGTAGTAGCGCTGTGAAGGATAGGATACGTGAGATAGGGTTCGGGTAGGCAACTATCTCTAAGAACCTCCAAAACATAGGAAACTTATGCTGCAAACGGCAAACCTCAAAAACCACATAGTATGTACATGTGTAACATTCGGATGTGGTCTAATGTAATATTTATGATAACGATAGTACAAATATCATGAGTAACAGCCGGGTAAATACGAAATACACGTGAATACAAGGTTTCAGATCGTTTGGAGAACTTGAGATGATGAGATCGGTTGCCAGGAGTGGCCGCACTTACCTCGGAATTAAAGAAGTCAAAACCGGGGTCGCTGGACGGCGCGTTGGGTTCGGTGGAGTTCTGAGCTGGCGAGGTGCTGTTGTCCGTCATGGCCACCAGGGCCACACTGAGGTTCACCCGCCAGGCGTAGCTCATCGCGAGGCAGAAGAAGCACAGGATGCACTGCACATGCCGCACCCCCAAGAATTTCTCTGAAATGGTGGAGAGATCGGATGAGTTGGTTAGGCCATCAGGTCGACGAAAAGGGGAGTATTGAGGACGGCGATGGGGGCAGGGGGGGGGGGCTCACATGTGGCGCTTTTTCTCCCTCTCGATCGCGGCGCCTTATCAATGCGCGGAGCACTCTGTTCTCTGTTCTCTGTTTCTCCCAAACTCTTTTTCTCTCCGGCGGCCAGCACCGCTCCGCAAGCCCCAAACTGGTAGCCATGTAAGTATGTGGGGCGCGTTTATTTTTAAAACACTTTGACTATGTCAAAATCTTGTGCACGCACGCACTGCCAGTGGGCCAGAAAGAGATGGGTGAGCTGGGCAACATCACATATACAGAGGCACCCACTCGACCAAAACTTGGCCGCAAACACACTGAGAATCGCGCATTGGACTTTGAAAGACGTCCTCTTTGCTATTGTTGTGTAAAATGCAGCGAGACGGTGCTGTACTGCCATGCCACCTCAAAAGTATAGAGTATAGAGCACTAGGTACCTGTGGTCCACACGCACACTACCTGTTCTCGGGCCAACCGGCCGCTCGGTCGGGCGATCCTCACGTGACGATCCCTCGCCCGCGGCCTGCCATCGCGCATGGAACTCATAGGTATCTCTTTCGGGCTGGTCTCTGCCTTACGCGGATTTGTTTTCGTGCATTTGGCTATTTTTAAACCCGACTTTGGCCGGCTCTCGCCATAAATGGCTTAGTCTTTATAAATAGGAGTGGGCTGGCAGCTCTCAGTAGGCAGTGGGCGGTGGTCGGTGGTCGGTGGCAGGGTGGTGCACATTGCAACACCGCCTCACCACTGGCAACCTTGCAACGCGGCCTTACACGGCACTGGGGTCTATTGAACCCCGGAGCTCGAGTTTGATTGCTAACCATTAATTACAGCTACAGTCGAAAGTCTCTACAGCTTGAACATCATGCTTTTTTTAAACTAAAAAACGTATAGTTCACTTATTATAAACGAAAATTTTCAACATTTTGGATTTAAAAAATGTCAAAAATCGAGTTTTGATAAAAACTTTAGCTGATAAAAAAATCTGTGCCTTAGCAAGACTTGTTGATAGCATAACTTAGCAACATAAATATTTTTCCGTGAATAAGACCCTAAATGGTGATTCAAGCTATACGAGTTTTACTGTGTTTCCAGTAATTTCACATTTGAATTGCTGTCCGAAAACCAAACTGACGTCCGAACTTTGAGCTCTCTCTTCCACTTCCACTTCCATTTCCTCTGTTGAGTGGCGCTCCTCCATTTCCCTCTCTCTCTGTCGCACGCCCTTTCTCTTTCCCCCGCAAACGTGCCGTCTCTTTCGACCGCGATGACTTGTGGTCGTGTGAGAACGCTTTATCTGACACGTTTTTAAATTTATTTGCGCAATGTCTTCCCCTTAGGCGTAATGCCCCATCAAATTTATGGCCAAGATATAGAGCTTTTTGTCTCACGGCGGAGGGGCACAGAAAAGAATCAGACAACGATCACAATAGCGATTGCAAACTAATTTTCTGCGGCATATACATGTACACCACGAGCCAAATCAATCAGCATTTATGAGCCGCCATAAAGGCAGTGCGCTAGCACCAGCTTGGAGTGTTTATTGGCTGCCATTTATAGTATATTCGCGTATATTTTGATTGATTGCCGGTCCGGTCCGGTCCCCGTTGGTACAGTCACCGCCGATTCCGCCGGGACAATCGAAGGACACAGCACTAGTGAGTCAAGTGTGCCGCATTGATAACCGATAGCACGGGCCCCGATAAAACTGGAACGCCGCCGAGTTTTCCAGGCGCGGGCGGGCAGAGGCGTTCGAGCGGTGATAAGATAATCGCCGCTTACAGCGTTCCTTTTCGCGCTATACCACCCACAACCCACCACCCAACCCAACCATTATGTTTACCGTTAGAGCCTGCCCATGACCAGGTGCTGCGACGCACATGCATTTGGAACGTGTAGGATTGCGGATGGCGGACTAGGTTGCACCCGTTAAGTTGTCTTTGGGTTACGGCTTATCAGGTGACTATCCAAACCGCCAGTTGCCCATCCCGATGCCAACCTCCCCCACATGCCCGGCACATGGGGATCTATTTAAAATTCTTTATTTCATTGGCGCAGATATACTGCGACCACTCTATTCTTGTTTTTCTTCGTTGTTGCTTATTTTTATCACCCGAAAGTGCTAAAATGTGATTTTATTTTGTTTGTCAGCGTAACTGAAAATCAAAGAAAGAACAACGCACGTAAACGTGGGGAAAATTTAATTGTATCTCGGAGGATGCATTTCTGTGCAGTGGAGGTCGTCTATACTCTGTACTCTGTACAGCTGTACAATTATTTCAGATATTTCTGAGTCGCTGAAGCATTGCTTCCAGTTCAGCAGTTGCACAGCTCCACAGGCTGGGATTAGACAAAAAAAACAAATAGTGATTCTACAAATGGAGCGAGCTGGCTCAGATAGAGATACAATCGAGATGGAATACGGGAGTGCTGTTAGAGAACCAATTAAGCGGTTTCCGGCAACACGAGCTCGGATCAAGTCGAACGATCGCGACGCTTACATAAGACACGTGCTTGGGACAGTTGTTATATGATGCATGTGAGGTTGGAGAGATCGGGGATTGGAGATTGGAGGTGTGCTTAGTGGATCTCCGGCGGGGGCTGGTACTACTCACCGTTGGCGTATTTACCACCCGTTTTCACCATGGTCAATGCAGTTGTCATGTGTGCGGCGCGGGTTGAGCTAATATATCTGATATATCTTATTTGGTATTCTTTCGAAACGTTAACGCTCGCGTTTGGGTCACTGGAATTTTTCGGTTTCTCACGCAGCGTTTTCCGGTTCCGTCATGAAGTTGCCGCGCATGTGTGAGCGCACGATTTTCCTTGCGAGTGTTTTCCCTGTTAGTTTGAAAAGCGAAAAGCGAATAGCGAAACTCTTACGGATCCAGAGACTCTAACCGTAGGAATTTTATTTTCAAAACTCTTTCTATACTATTTGTTCAGCGACGAGCGGGTTTTGAACGTTCTGGCGAACGACTGCGACTGCTTGAGTAGCTGGCGGTGGTCGATTCTTTTATAAATATGATCGAACTCGGACCAGTCGCTCTCACCAACACTCGCAAATCGCCGGAGAGAGCGTGTGGTTGTATCGCGTGAGTTCCAATTCCGCTATCAGTCAAACCGAACACGCTGGCACTCACAGATACTCCGCGTGCACGCGTGTGTGTGCCTCGATGTGGATTTCTCTCGGGTGAACCGGCGAACGAACGGGAGTAAGTAAACAACACCAAGACCAGCACATGGTTATCAGTTCGGGCCAAGTGGTTACCGCCAACCGCCACCCGCTCCGCGGACCTCGGACCTCGGGTTTCTGGGTATTATGCCTGCAGCGCGCTGTAATATTAGTCACAGATCGTTTGCTCAGCTTCTCTCTGTACGCACACTGTTTCTCCCGCTCGAGAGAGTGCGGCCTCTCGTCGGCAGATCTGGTATCTTCCAGATACAAATTTCGACTCGAGGCATGAATGGACTGCATCCTGCGGAGCCTAGGTAAACAACATGGCACGCCAAACCCAGATAACGTGCCACGTAAGCCGCAGGCGAGGTCATCGCGTTCCCCTGATAAGCCTGAAGTAGCCTCATCCTAGTGCCATTCCATCTTCCGAGAACTCTCTGTGGCTAATGACATAACCCAGCCCACGGACGTTCCATTACAATGCGCTGCTTGATCGACGGACCCCCTCATGCACAGACCCTTTGATTGATGGCACGTAATGCCCCTCGGTTTCTCCCTCTTTAATTACTTCTCTTGTTTTTAAGGCACTCTAGTTATTGCTCTTATTGCTCTTCCCGCACAGTCGTCCTATCAAATATAATTGCTGAAAATGAAATGTTTTAAACTAATTATTTATGCTTATCAGCGCCCGACACTTCAGACTTTGATTTTCGACTAAGTAAATGAGCCGACCACCGGCGATCCCCACTCCGCGGCCCACTTCTGCCCACATGTCCCCCAGGAAACGCTCTGCAAATTCATTCTGATTCTGACAATTGCCCGGGGATGGGGGCCTGGCGGAGGGGCAGGCGCAGGAGTCAGGGGCCAATGACGACAGCCGCTGGCTGATAAGGCCCACTGCCATTCCCGTTCTTACACACAAAGAAATAATCAATTGTACACATTTGCATGGTTAAAAGTATTTATTTTAGGTATTTCAGGGAGCAAATGAAAGATAAGTGGACTGCATAGAATTAAATCTAAACTAATGCTCAAGTGGTTGCCTAGAAAATACCATCCTTGGAATATTTACTTGTGACAGGATATCATTTATTCATTTATTTTAAAAACATTCATTGCGTTGTAGGGCATGAGGCAACTACAAATAACAAATACAAATAAGTAAATATTAATTAAGGAATAACAGCCAATAATAAGGAGGCAAATGCTGCTCATCGCAGAGGCTTTCATTCGGTCGAGGCAAAACTGTTGCCTTATGATTGAGTTTCTTGTACAAACAAACATGGAAAACAATAACAGGGCCAGACCTTTGCTCATATGGCATATTTATTTGTTTGCCGTGCACGCTGTTGATGGCAAATCAATTTTGGCACATGGCAGACACGTTTCCAGGCACGTTCACTTGCCGACTGCCTGGCCTGCGAATCTCGAGACATTTGCACGTTATCGGGTTCCGATTTCGGGGGCCATTCGATTAGCCAAGCCCCCGGGACCCAATTCGTAACCCAGCTATCAGCTCCGCATGTCGGCGGCTGAAGAATTGTCCATCGTTTTTAGTAAGTGGCTTGGCCGAAATACGGATCTATGGCAATCTAATCGGAAAAAGCGGCTATGATGGATGCGATTGTTACAGCAGAATGCAGCTTATCGCCTGACGAAAGGTAAACAGTCAGTCCGCTTGACGTCAACTATTCGGCGAGGGAAACGGGGGAATGGGGGTCACTTGCAGGGTTTGGCAGCACTATACCATATGGCGCACCCCCACATGTGAGCCCTGCTCTGGAGTAATTGTTATGCAGCCTTTTGCTACGAGAATTGTTCAAATATCGCTCGGCTGGAAAATTATTCACGCTGCATTACGTATACGCCAGGTGTAACCAAACAGAAACCCTCTAAACGGGCTAATTGCCAGCGGATGGTGTCGCCTACCCATCTGTATGGATGGTTCTGGCTCCTGTCCAGTGGCCGTCGGGAGTTTTTTTCCAGTGCTAATCACGATGTCCCCGGGACACTTGGACATTGTTTGAGGCGATGGCGCCGACAGCATTTTAATGCCCTCCGCAAATGTTGTTTTATGGAAATCCGCCTTTGTTGGCACCCTTTGCGTAGGGTATGTCTCATATTGGGGCGCACTTGATCCTTAGAATAATTAGGGTTGAATAATTATTTTTCCTTTACTTCTTCTCTTTACTAAATATGACATGTCATGGGCGAATGAAATGAACGAAGTGTATTAAAACACCCAACATTTTGTATCAATTGAGCAATCACGGTTACCCAACATCTTTAAATAGCGAAAAGTTGTCCGTTCCCAAGATAGCAGTAATTAAGGTTGATCAATATCAGTTGGGCAGGCAATAAATTCGAATCAATTGCGAAGAGTATTTCATAGTCGCTTGTTTGACCAGGCTGAGGTCTTTGAGGCCTTTGCATGCAAACAAGTCGAAATAAATCGATCTCAATATTGGAATTTATATTTCGGTGGCTTCTAAATGTTTGGGCAAACGGCACATTACAGCGGGGGAGCGAATCGATCGAGGATTGTGTGAATTCCTATAGCATATTTGAGCTACCGACTGTCGGCGAGTTAATTGAATTGTGTCCAATCAGCGGCAATTGTCCATTGTCCACCGCCACCCGCCAATTTCAATTAGCGTGGGTCCACTGGAATCTTTTATCGGATGTGTGTATGAAAGTGGGTATTGATCGGCCAGGTGGGTGTGGCACATTGGGGGCGTGGCTCTCTATTAGCACCCTGTCATCGGAGGCCGCGGAAAAATGTCTGTGGGTCAGCCAGTTGGCAAACACTCAAAGACGCGTATTTGCGGAAAAAATTTCATCAAATTTTTATTCAACTTAATTGCGGTGCGACAATCTCTTATAAATAGATCATTTGGGAGCGGTTATTTCCGCCGGAGATGGAGGAAACGAACCAATTGCCTTGAGTCACTCGACAAATCTTTCGTGGCCGCAGTGCGACTGCAGAACCTTGTTGCTAGAATCTTATCGCACGGAAGATTTCGAGGAGCCATAAAGAAAGGCGTTTATCACATTCCATTGTGCAAGCGCAAGTGTTATCATCTGCAGGCGACCCCAGCAGCTGCGCTGATTTATCACCTGCGGCGTGACATCACGGGCTACCAAAACTACCCAGTCACTATCTAGCCACATTGGGTTAAAGCCCAGATCCAAAGATCACGCGAAAAGTGCCAAGATGACTGGGCAAATGTGGGTAGGATCGAAAATCAGCTAAACGCCGCATCGAGTTGGTGGTGAAATGGAAATTAACAATTCATTATCGCCGCACAGACAGCTGAATACTCGCTTGAATATAAATATAAATACGAATATCGAATATACGAATATAATTTGTTGCAAATAAGCAACAACAAACAACACCTATTTGCGTTAACAGTGCAAAAATGATTAAGCGATAACCTTAAAGCCAGAGACAGAGAGCGTGGCAGAAAGAGAGGGGCATAGGAATGTGATCGAGAGAGAGAGAGCATGGGGCGCCGCACCGTGCTAATTGTTTTTGCCATTTTGCAGGCCCCATCCGATTCACACCAACACAGGCACACACGCATGCACACGCACACACCCATCAATCCATGAGCGCCCAGAGAGAGGGAGACTCTCTCGCCCGATCTTTGATCACGTTTCCCGCACACGACGAAGGCACCCGATTCCACCGCTTGGAGCCTCGTTCACGTGATAACCATGTGCATGTGCTAGCTCAGCTCTCCCGCTCCCGCTCCCACTGCCGCTCTCACTCCCGCTCCCACTCCCGCTCCCGCTCTCGCCGTATATTTTTATGTCGAAAACGAGTCGCAAAATGAGTTTGCCATTCTTTGCACTTTTGCGGTGGGGCCAGCATGATCGGACAAGACCGGGGGAAGTTGGAGACCATGGGTGTGCTATCCATGATTTCACCAGTGGGGAGCGGCGCTGAGAGCGACACGCGAGAAACTGCCAATTCATATTGTGTCGGCCGACTATCACGCATTGCTCTTTCCCCATTCTGGTCGAGATTTGCACACTTTATTTCGGGCCTCGGACGGACGGACCCCCCCATCCAACCAACCAGTTTACGATGATGGCCAAAAACCGAGGCCAGAAACCTAATCGTGCCCATGCACCGGGGAAACTGAAAATCTCGCTTCCTTGAGATCTTTTAATAATGCCATCATTACAAATATATTTGGTCTCATATGAAAGATTTTCTTTGTTCAGTTCATGTTGCAGTTACCCTACTTAGTTAGCAGCTTGAATTCACAGCGTTTCTAATATATAGTGGCACTTTATCAATATAAACCATGTTTGCTATTCGCAGTGTGGAACATTACTTGGTCGATAGGACAAATGGACACAGTAACGCCGCACGGTTTTATGGCCACTTGATAAGATCTCTTCAGATTTCATAAAAATAACCTTCTTTAAATGGGCATTTAATGGATTGCCTTATCGTGCGCTTGCCTAAGAGCTCAAGATTCCTGCACATGTGGTTGGGGAATGAAAACTGTTGAAGCCCTTAGAATGTGTAACTTACCCAGCACGGGATCCGATTCGAAATGATAGTTTTACTGGGCATCAAATTTAAATTAGGTTGACTCAAATACTCGCTCACACCCGTCACACAACTAAAAATACATGTGGAGTATACACATTTAAGTAAATATATACAGAAGTCGCCGCGTACGTAACACTGCCTTTGTTCATATCGCGTGCTTGAAAGAGGAAAAAAGCATTTATTCAAATTCCGCTTATCAACAAGTTAGCCCCGCCACTGAAATGTGCCCCAATCCCCCCAACCCAAGCCGCCCTGGCCCCCACTTTGCATTCGCCCGCCGAGTTCGAAGCTATAAAATGTGCACGGCACTCAAATATGCGAGATACGCTCGAAATGGGGATTAAATGATTGCAAAATTGATTTGCCAGCTTGACTTAGATTTGTGATCCAACTTTATCTGCTGGCGGAGACAACACAGTAAAGCATTAAACTCACATCTGCGATTTCAAGTCTGCAATCTTTGCTGCGTCAGCGAAATGGTGGCATGTGCAGGTTGTTCTCAGCACGTGTTTCTTGGATTGAAAGCAAATGGTATCCCATATCCAAAACATGAGACTTACGCTCCCAATGATAAAGACATTGGTTAAGGTTGATCGCTCAGCGAATTCTACATGTAATCTACATGTCAATGTAATCTACACCCTACAATTTTCTCTACGACGATCTCTGTTTTCGAAGCATACTTTTTGGGGCGTCTTGCAAACCAAATCCAAAGTTTCATTGATAAAATCGACAAAATACTACACAAAACTAATTCCAAATAATCGATCTTGGGATTAACAGATTTCTATAATTTATAAATGTATAGTAAGAAACTACTTCTTCCTTTAAAGTTCTCAAATGCTGTATTTAGTGGCAGCTATAGGTAATAATTTAAATGACACCCAAGTGTTAATGCTATTGAATTCGCACAGACATATCTTACAATTACGAACTAAGAATTTTGACTTAATCCGATCACAACAACGTGTTTAAAAATGATATAAAATATCATAGGTAAATAAGATCAGTAAATGTATAACTAAAACGGTGAAAGAATAAGATTATGCTTGTTACTTTGAGCACTGACAACCAAATAAAAGATGGAAATATTTGAATTTTTATGACCTTCAAAATCGAGCAGTTCCCACCCACATTAAAGCCCCACCATATGTGGGAATCAAACATCTCTGTGGTTTTCTTTTCACATGTTGCCCATGCTCTTTTTATTTATTTTAATTGTTTTTTGTTTTTTGTTTGCATGGGTAAACTTATCACATAGCATTAACAAACTAGAACTTAAGATGAGTGGAATGCAAATACGAAATAGTCACAGTTAACAAATACACGTTACAAATATACACGGCGAATGCGAAAATGCATTGCACCCGGCTGCAAATAGGCAAATAGGGTTGATAGTTTTGGAGTTGTAGGAGAGCGGAACTAGCTGACTAGTAGCTTCGGTACCCATTTAACTATCCCGTCAGGATATCCCGTCCATCTAGTGCTGCGACTCCACCTGGGGCGTGGAGTTGCGACGCGGCTTCGCCGGAGGATCGTTCCATGGCTGGACATTCGCCTTGCCGAAGATCACGTACAGCGCATTGCCCACCAGGTAGAATGCGGCGGCAATGAAGAACACAATGCGCCACTGGTCGGGATCGTGCTGGAAGAGATTAAAAGGGGTTAGTTGTGGAGTTCGATAGTATAATTATCCTGACATGGAACTCAAGATTGCAAATCGATTGTAGACTCACCTCATCTGTGACAATGAATCCGACAATCAGAGGGGCAATGATGCTCATGATGTTGGCCACGCCGTTGGTGATGCCCATGAGGATGCCAGCGAAGTTGGGCGACAGATCGATGTGGTTCATGTTGAAGCCCAGGTAGGTGGCTCCGTTCATGCCCACGGTGAAGCAGAGGAGGACCACCGCCAGCTCTGACTGATCTGGGTTAACGTAGCCCAAGGCAATCAAGGTCACCATGGGAATCCACAGACCAATGGAGTTGAAGAGCTTTCTGCTGGTAACTCTTGAAATGCAGTTGCGGTTGTTCAACTGGGCGGATATCGACGAGAATACAAAGGACATGGCGAACATGCAGACGTAGGGCAGCGAGGAGAGGAGAGCATTCGACTTGATGTCCTTGCCAAGGATGTTCTTCATGTAGCTGGGGATCTCGGTGAGAAGGGTCCAGAAGCCCCAGTTGTGCACCGAGTGAGAGACGATCAGGACGAGGAAAGCGGGTGACGTGAAGAAGCTCAGCCAGGGCGTGGGCAACTGCTCCTTGGGCAGCTCCTGGGCACTGCTCAGCTCGTCGGCCTGCGACATCTCGATCAGCTTCTTCTCCTCTGCCGAAATGGTTTTGCACTCTTGTGGCGATCCTGCGCCAAAGAAGAAGTACACCACCGACCACACGCAGCCAATTCCTCCAGAGATATAAAAGATGCTGGGCCAGCCGATTGGCGAGGCTGCAATCACTCCACTGGTGGCCAGCATGATGATCGTTCCGAACTGGTTACCCGAGTAGGCGCAGGTTCCCAACGTGGCCCTCTCCTTGGGCGGTGCCCAATGGGAGAGGATCGTGTGGGTTGAGGGAAAGACCACTCCCTGGCACAGACCTTCCACCACGCGCAATGCGCAGACCAGCTGCCAGCCCCCGATCCTTGCGCAAATGGGTGTCAGGATGTTCAGGATCGAGCAGATGGTCAGTCCCGACAGGATCATCACCTTGCCGCCATATTTCCGGGCCAATTGACCCGCCGGCACCTGGGTGACCACATAGCCCCAGAAGAAACTACTCAGCAGCAGAGATTTTATCTTCTCCGACCAAGCATACTCCTGCAGAAAGATGATGAACAGTAGCTTAGTATTTTGTTGGCTTCAGTACGGATTGCCCCATGTACTTACGGGAAAATTGGGATTCACGGCGTTGGAATCGGTCATGGCCACCACAGCCACGGATAGGTTTACACGGAGCGCATAGGCCACCGTGAGGGCGAGGAAGAGCAGGAAGATCTGGAAGTGACGGATGCCCAAGCCGGAGTCTGCAAGTAATCAGAACGCGCAATCGATTAGGTAAGTTTGTGCAATCTGACACCTATATTGATCTTCAGCCCAGTCAATGGGCAATCAGCCGCATTATCAGCCGTATTATCAACCGCATTATCATAGTCACATGTGCCTATATGTATGCGAGTATGTTTTGCCTACTAGGATGTGTCTGTAGGTCACCTGTAGGTCACGGACTTTCCTTCTGCGTTTTTTAAGGTCAGCAGCGCCGAGATCCTACCCCCAGCTGAATGAATTTATGACCGACAGTTTATTTGCTCTGGTAGTTGTTCTCCCATTTCGGGCGTAATTTACGCATAAATTTATCATCCCTTATCAGCCAGACAAGCACTGGAGATACAATTATTTGCCTTTCTATTTGCATTTGTGGGGGTGGCTTCTGTTTCTGGTTTCCGGATTACGAAAAAAATTCCATTCATAGATACGGCGCCAAATTGTCGGCCACACTTCAGCGGCCATGTCTGCGCCTCCGAACCACCCATCCACCCCCACTTTCCAACCCTTTGGCCCCAAGTCACTCAGATATGAAACCATATCTGTATGTAGTGGGCTAGTGTTCGGTGTTTGTTTAATCTCGAGTTTGCTGGCGGAGATTAGCTGGCTGTGAGTGTGCCATAAAAAGCGGGTTATAACCGCTTTACAGCGGGCTACTTAAAAGTCCCGAATTAATCCCCATTTTCACTTCTATGTGTTCCAACTGAATTCGGGGGCTCGTCTTTTATGGATATTCTCTTATCAACGCTGATTAGAGCTTCAACGCAATTTCTTGCCAGTGAAAGAGGGCTATTTATAGTAAATCTATCTTTGTTGAGCTAGTGGGAAGAAGCTGTGGTCATGTTGGGACTCTTTTGTGGTCGATTGAATGCATTTGGAAATACAAACACCGTACAAAAACATATTACATTTAATTATACATAAACTTGGAAATTGAAGAAACTGGAAATTGGCAAGAAATGCACGAAATTGTTTATGAAACCAAAGGACATACGCGTTTATTTCTCGAAATGCACCATCTATCTTTATATAAATTTAAATATTACACTTCACTTTGTATTTTTCTTTATTTGAGCTTATGAAAAGTGATTTTTTACTCAAGTAAGCTGGCTTCCTTTTAAGTTCTTTGGAAAACCCCCTGCATCAGGACCCACCTTCATCCTCAAAGCGACGGTTCTTCACAGTGGTAACCATACTTGGACTTGGATTAGCTAACTCTGAATGAATAGTGTGGGATTCCAGGCAAAGGCACTACCGTTCGGCTTGGAGCCTGCTCACTAACTGATGGCTTCTTGGCGGAGCATGAGCAGGTGCTTTACGCAAATAGTCGGATCATCTAACCAGCATCGCCTGGTAATCTTGTGGCTACATGGGTAAGCCTATCTGTATATGGCAGCGCTACAGCTCGGGGCTACAGCTGTATCTGTATCTGTACCTGTATCTGTATCCGTATCTGGAACTGTGACGTTAGCTGTCGCTCCGATTTGTTGACAGTGTAAAAGCGCGTGGCAGTTGCACCCCCACCACCCCAAAACACCGACCCCACTTCGACCCCTGGGGGCGTGCTTATCTGCTGCTTCGATGTAACCAGTTGAGGCATTATGCTGATCACAAGGCCAGCGCATGTTACGATCCTATCACAGATCCTAAATCAACTGCGATTTATTGCCCACCTACTGTTTTCAAATCGCTAACCGATAGCTTTGAACTTGAAAGCGGGTGGAAATTGGATCGTATTCCGTATGGCGAAGCTTTGCGTTTGGTGGCAAAGCTCAAGCGCCAAAAGCCAACTGGCTAAAGCTGCAATGTTATTGTTTACTACGGTGGGCAGTGCCTATAGCGAACCAGAAGCAAACTTCAAAGCTCCTGCTAACCACAAGTCACGCAATTAGAGCCGTAATTAACCAGCAAATGGAATTATGCATTTGAATTGCGTTCCATTTCCCACATTGAAGTTCAGCCACTCAATGAATCGATTTCAGTTAGATCACTGACACGCTTCTGGGCTAATCGCATCACAGCTTAGGAGTCTTATTGCCGCTATCATAGGGC